TACTGTTGTTATACAAATTATATTAAAAGATAAAATAGTGGAAGAGACATTATTTTAAAAAAGTTTATTAATCTCATTTGTTATTTTATAATAAATTTTTTCATTTATAGACCACATAATTAAAAATTTATTATTTAACTTTACAATATTGCCTACTATTTCCTCGATAATCAATTTTATTTTTAGTATATCTTGCATGTATGTACGTGATACCACTACATAGTCACGTAACTGATTATCGCGATCAATCAACGCAGCCATTCACAAGTTTTGTCCAGAGCCTATTAATAAGCATATTCCGCGAATAAATTTATCGCGAAACACGATGACTAACAGCGTCTACGACGTTATCGTTGTTGCAGCAATCTGAGATTCCGGGCGCGATACTGTCACGATTTGGAATCCTTTGAGAGCGCTCGATCGGGCGAACTCACCAGCCGACTCTTGGCCTGTCGCGACCGCCACCCGATAATATTTCAGGTAAGCGATGCTGTGCACCTGGTCGAATCTGTGCGCGGACCGACCTGTTCGGCAGGTGCCGACATTTAATATAACTTGCTCAGCTGGCTGAGAATTCCGGTCGCGTGTACGACTGACTTTTATTCTTTTACCTTCGCTTTCCTTCCGTTCGTGGCGCCGCATTATGATCGTTTTAATTTCGAGAAGGTAAAAATACTTGTACCAAAATTAAAAACATATCGATTATCGATGATCAAATTACAGACGCCGATATTATTTTTATATATTGTTTATTTATTTTTATCGTACACGCGTTGTAAGTCGATTTTTATTTCGCTTGAGGAAGATTTATCTTTACTTACGCCGACATTCACAAATTCCTCCTTCGCGCACTTTCTACGTAAATCATTTACTTCGCAATTGCTTAGTAATGTATTTACACTAAACGTACTGCAGTGCATACGTCGTAAAGCGCTAGCATTAATAACCATAATACGCTGAAGTGGTGAACAAGGTAATACGTAGCATCCGTACTAATTTGTCTCAGTCCGACCTGCAATGCAGTTGCCGCTAAGCTCTGCCAGATAGTTCAAAGTTGCACGACCGCATTAGTGAATTCGCCTGCATTAATAAACGTTCTTTGAAGCTACATAAGCCCGAAATAACATATTAATGCACTTTACGATAATCTCAAATACCGCTCGTCGAACGTCGGGAAAAAATTTTTAATCGCGGGAAAAAAAAACGCGACATCCTCTATAAAAAGTTTCATTAAAGTTTATTATAAAAGAATCTTGCTCGCAATTTAACGTTTTTATGTGAACATTTTTCTGTGATAAAAGCTGTAATAGAAGTCGGCGCTGAAATCGACTTCTTTATTTGACGCGTTACCGCAGCATCGTGCCCAACATCCGCCGCGTAAAAGCCTTCAGCCTTGTTCAGGTTCGCGCGTTCAAGGTCGCAGGATTATATGCGCATACGCGTGCACACGTGGTTCAGCGCCGCGCGCTGCGTACGTACCTTTTTTTTTCCTTCCCTCTCGGCTGCCCTTCGCGAGAGAAACCGGAGCGTGATGAAATCGCCGGAAGGGGTGGAATTTAATTCGTGAGCATGCGCCGCGTCTACGGGGAGGGAGAATCATCGGTGGGGTTGCCGCCCCGCGCGCGCCCCCGTCGTTGCTGCCCGATGTTATTGATCAGGGCCCTCTTCGCTCCCACGAAATGGCTAAAATATATCACACCGTGGGACACAGCGGATCGCGCCCCCCCCCCCTTCCCTTCCCTTTGGCACGCAAAACTTTCGCGCTACAATACGTAACTTAATTTATGCGTTCGGGATTCTCGCGGAGATGTTTTACGGTCGCGAGAGAACGAATTACAGGGATATTAATCGTGAAATGTTGTAGGTGATTTATGCTGTAGCTTTTGCAGAGAGTATAAATAACATTGTGCGATAGCGATAGCGATCGAACTAGAAACGGATAATACCTGAGAATCTCCGTGAGTGAATCTCTAACGGGAACGGGATACTTGAGAATTTCCATGAGCGGAGATAATAAAATGATTATAGCTTATCTTTTTTTTTTATCACGCAAGAGCAAAATAATTTTTTAAAAATATTATTACTGTAAAATATAGTTCTGCAAAGGCGAATAATAATAAAGAAGGCAATGAGAAGCAGAAACGCGGTTGTCGGAGCGCAAGAACTGTCAATTATTATCAATTAGTGTACAAAAATACTTTACAAAATATTGTTGTACATTAATTAATAATAACGGTGCATTCGTGCACTCTGAAAATTGCGCTTTTTATTTTTATTATCTGTTTTATCATTATTCAAAATGTTATTTTGAAATTCGGTATTTAATATTCACGACATTACGCCAATGTAGATTGACATAATTCATGCACATTGTTTTTATTTTGTGATTCTGTATCGCGGAGTATATATTTAAAATGCCTTAAGTATCCTTCACGCTTCCGTGCACGCGATATTATGCAGCAGTTTTTGCGATCGAGCGCATGCAATTACAGAGCAGCTCATTGACGTTTCATCGGCTCGCAGAAATATGCGACGTATTCATCTCACATAAGTTTTGTTAATTAAGGTTGTTTAATTAGAGTCTAGAATAACTTTCCCGCGCGCTTGACCCTTGTCTTGTATCAATTAGAATATTCCTCGTCGAATGAGATTGTTATCCGCTTAATTGTAATAAGAGTCCATTCGCTTAATGAAATGCGTGATTGTGCTGAAGAGCAGAAGCTCAATGCCGCGATTTCTCGATTAGATAGACACGAGGAGAGGCGCTCGGCGTTCTTCCACAGACGAGAAGAATAGCGGCAAGAAATAGTGAAAGGAAGGATTGTCGTCGATAAAATACATCGAAAAAAGCTTGTTGATAATCTCTCGAGAGCAGAACACGGTAACTCGTTAGAGAACGGGGCGAAATGAGCGGAGGCGCGGCCGGATAATCAGCAGTTTATTAAAGTATTAGGGACATCGCATGAGGGAGCTAAATGTTCACGATTGCGAGACCATCGACTGGACTGATCGATACCTCGGCGCCAGAGCGACATTATTTCATAACTAAAAAATGAAAAAAAGAGAATATTTCTAGACGATTTCTTATCTTCGAGATGTATTAAGATATTACGTAGCAATTTTTATTGGCGAGACGACGTCAATTTGCGACGAATTCGGACGAATTCGCAAGGAGCAAGGCAATCTTTTATCCGCGCGTCTCTCGAAAACACACCCTACTTTAAGCCGACGCAAATAATTTCTCATTAAATCGCGACGGTGCTCGAGCCATAAGGAACAATGTTCCTCGGACAGAAGACATAATAAGACGCATAAATCACAGACGCGCATCCAGGCGGATATCACACTCCGTCGCCGAGCTGTATTCCTCCGAGGCATCGCTAATAAACAATTTG